GACAGTGTGAGAAAGTGATCTTTATTCGTTCAAAAAACTCTGCATGTAGTCTATGTTTAGGTTCTTTTAATGTGTTTGTCTGTGATTTTTAAATGCTAAACATGTAAACAGATAAATTGTCAATGTTAATTCTGTATCCTGTCACACAACTGATCTTTCTTTCCTGCCATTTCTTTCCTTTTTATCTTTTTTTTGTGTGTGCATTCATGTTGCAGTTGATAAAATTACGTGAAGAGGTGAGTACTTCCTAGCTTGCCTTTTTTTTTTAAATTCTGCTTTTTCCTATAAAATTGAGTTTCTAAATCTGAAGTAAGATCTTTGGGTTCATTTTTTTTCCAGGAAAATTTACACATAGCAAAAGTATTCATTATATGGCTGGAAGTGTTCTCCGCTGACTATCTTTTAAAAAAACAAGTAAGCTCTAATCATGCTTATCACAGTGATCATTGTTGGTTGGCATCCGGAGAAAATTCATATTTTAAAGGCCAAAAAGGGAAGAAAAATAAAGGGATGTCTTAAAACTTCATCCAAGTGTTATGTAGACTAACTTCAGATTTGTTTTATTTGTATTGGTTTTTCAAAGAAGTCAATATGATTAAAAATGTTTTTTTTTCTGACATTCCAATTTACTGAAAATTCTTTTAAAATAGACTCTTTTCCCTCACCCAAAATTCTTAGGTTCAACACAAGATACCATGAATCTATTTTCCTTTTAGGGAAACACACATATGTTATAAATGCTCTACTAGTCTGTGTACACAGATACTTAAGAATAGCCAAAGTTCTCCTCATTGTTAAACACTTTCCTTTTTGTAGGAAATAGCACCCAAGTGAGTTCTCATTTTTCTGAGTTGCTGGCCTGTTTTATAATGCAGCTCCGGACTTTTTAGTGGCCCAGCAAATATTTACAGCAATGTTTATCATTTCCTCCCTGTATCAGTGAGGGATGCTGAATGATTCTGGTCTTGTTTTTTGTTTGTTTTGTTTTGTTTTGTTTAATTAAGCCAAACTTAACAAATATGTTTTGGTACTCTTTTTCAGAGATAAAACAGTTATATTTTTTACTTAGTGAAGTTGAGTTTTGTTACTTTTATATTAGGGCATAAAATAATGGCCCAAGTTGCAATTTGAAAGCTGTCTAATTGCTTATAAAGAGTACCATGAATTATGTTTGAGTTTAGATTGACTGCATTGATTTAGATTTTCCTAGAATTTTTTTTATTGGTATGTCATCATTCTATAGCTGACGTGAATGCTAAATGAGAGACTTGTAGATATGGTTTTCACCAACTCTTTTGACTTAAGATGCTCTAGTGATGTCCTCTCTTAGTAAAAGTAATAATGATTTATAAAATAAAGGGTGAAAATATATAAAACCCTTACCTTCTAACCTTGTTTTTTTTTTTTTGTGGAAGCAGATGTATATACTAAATGAATATAATCAATTGCAGTTTTGATGTATGAGATTATTCCTGAGGTGGGTGATACTCAACATTATTTTCCTGCAAGACGGAGTATCTGCTTATATGTATTTGCATATGCTCATGCTTAGGTGAAGAATCTGAATTTTCAAATCTTAATGGAACTAACAATAGACTCTAAAACCTCTATGTGAAGAAACTACACAAAGCTTTTCTGAATTTAGTGAATATAATTAATAAAATATTAGGCCTTATTACAATCAGCATTTTTGACAGATTAATTTTGTTAAGCTGAATTGTGTGGACTTAGAAATCTTAATTCTGAGAGCTGAAAACATCACGTCTGCATTTCTTTTAAAATATGTTTTATCATCATTTTTGGCTTAATTCTTTTGTTGTGCCTATAGCAACAGTTTCATCAATAATGGCTCTGAACTGCATGTTTCCAAAACTATAACCTGGAATGGAATTGTACTTGGAAGAATTAGATCATTCAACTAATAGAATAATATGCCCTGGAATATTCTTTTAACAGTCTTTGATATGGATATAGTATTAATATTTGTAAAATAGATTATGATGATGACAGTGCCTTGGTATATGATTTACTCAGAAGAGATTGTTTCTCAGCCAGGATTCTAATAGTAATCAAACAGTGAGTGTACCCCAGATTTCCTCCTTATACCTCTCCTAAGAACACAAGCACTCATCTGCTTCAAAATAGGACGTTTGGTTGCATTTGGATACAAAGTATGCCGCATCCCTTCCTTGGGATGTTCTCTTTCGGCTCAGGTCTGGGAACCGGGCATGCTTGGAGGCAGGCTGGTGTGTACAGGGAGCTGAACTGGTTGGTGTTGGCTGTGCTGAGCTCTGTGATTCAGATTCCGTCTGAATCCTGCATCTCTAGCTCTCCACATTGCACAGCTCCTCACACAAGTTGAGCTCTGTCTGAAGCTCCTGCACAGCTTCACTTACCTGCTTTGAAAGGGCTGAGGAGAGGGTGAGAGAATGAGTTTGGGATGGAGTGTGGGGGCAAGTTGAAAGCATCAGCTGCTACTGTAGTGTATTTCCTTTCATTTTCAGAGACCAGGGCAATGCACAACTAAGGGAACAATGTAAATAGCACAGCTGTTACAAGAACTTGATTTTAGCTTGACTTAAGTGAAGAGCTTCCAAAATACAAAGTGAGGTCCTGCTGGAAAGCTGCTGGTAAACTGGTAGTCCTCTTGTGTGCAGATTTCCTCTGATAAAATTGAACTGTCCTGAAGAAGAGTTACTTCCATTATTTAGGAATATGCATTTTTTTGTAAAGTTCTTTTAGAAATTTTGCTCCCCATTAGAGCCATACACTTAATAATCTGTTTTGGCTCTCTTTCGTGGAATTCCAAGAATCATTCTGGATTTAAATTCTTTGTTTCTCACGTTATCTATTATCATATAATTAGACTGTCCATTTCCAGTATTGATCTTTGATTTTTTTTAATCTGTAGTAGCTTAGTGTTTTCTTTTAATTTAGGGATTTCATCCAATATGAAAATGAACCAAAAATTTTTGTTCTGTTATTTTGAATTAAAATTCAGATTTACTCTTGATTTCACATATCAGATATCTTTTTAGAGAATTACCAGTTTGAAATTAAGTCCTTTGTTAAGGTAGAAAACAATATTCAGAGAAGAGAAGAATAATCCCTACTCCCAAAACCTGCATGTAGGGAAAATTAGGAGGAAGAAAGCTATTTTTGGTAAGCTGAGTAAAGTGTTTAATTTTATTTAAAAATAGTCATATATACCAAACACAGAGAACTCCACTTGCTTTTCTTTTTCTCAATTACAGCCTTCAGTGACTTAGCGTTTTCATGATATAAGCATTCCTTCCTTCCTCCCTTTTATTTATTTAGGTTTTTTATTTATTTATTTTTTTGCAGAGGGAGGGGCAGCTTTTCTCTTAATTTCTCCACTGTGTATTAGACAACTCTATTAATTATTATAGACTGTTGTTGCAGCTTTCCTGACCTTCACATCAGGTCCTATCTCTCTGTTCTAAATGCATTGTTTTAATGATTCTTCCCCCCCCCAGCCCCGACCCCCCCCAGGCCCTTCCCCCAAAAAAAAATTTTCAAGGAAAGCTTTGATGTGGCTTTAGCTGCCTCCAACGTCTGGCCGCATCTCAGATGTGTCACCTATGCCGGGAGGGAATAAGGAAATCACGTTTTGAATGGTAATGATAACATACTAATCACTTCCTTTCTTTGAAGATGGAAGCGAGATATTCTGTCAGCATCCCTGGCTGCTAGAGCTTGGAGGCGCTGGTCTAGGTGTATTAGCTTAAGTGTGCATGTCAATACCGCTTGCATCTCCACGGTCCGTGGGGGCTCATTAGAGCAAGGTAGATCGTTTCGCTCGACAGCCACTCAGATAGTATGTGTGGCACCTCCTTTTTTATTATTATTAGAAAGCATTTCTTCAGTTTTAAATGACATCTGTCAACAACACAAAGTTATAGGAGTTGTGGTTGCATTTTTCCTTTCCGTTTGACCAGATACCAAAACTGAGTTGAGGGGGGAGAGTATGAATTTATACAAATACGTGTATGCATGTACACACACTGAAATAGATAGATACACATATTCATATATTTCTAAGTATCCAGACATATGTGCATCTGTACACACACATACACACACACACATGCATGCATGTATTCTCACTCGTTCACAGCCATGATTAATTTATAAATCTGTTGGTCAACCTGAATAGATCTAGTGACTGATTGTTATGGATAAAAACCAAAAAAACCAGCCTCAGTGTAGAAAAGAAAGTTGGAAAGTTGAGAATTTGGGGAAAATCCTCTCATGTCCCCATCCAATATAACATAGAAGAGTACATATAATTATTATCATTTTAGTTCAGTTTAAAACAGTAGGTGTTAAAAGTTCACCTTCAATCTAGTGTCCTATGTTTGGGAACAAACCCACATTTTTGTGTACCTATGTGCATGGAGGAACATTTCTCTTGTTCCTTGGTGATTGCCCCGAGTTGTCTTAACACTAGATCTACTGTTTAATGTTCCGTTCTAGTAGTGAATGTTGTTCTATATGGCATCTTCCACACATCCAAAATTGGAGGGCATTCTCTTGAAAATAAAGTTCCTCTTTAAAAATTCCTATCTGCAGGAATCAAAGGAACAAATGAGTTTTTTAAATGATGGCATTTTATAAAAAATAAATACAAAATAGGGATCATAAATCTATGCAAGTGTCTCATCTGTCTACTCTGCTGAAAAAGGAAAGATCAAGTTGACTCACGTCTTCGTACATTTCTCAGTGTTTGGGAATAAGATTCGTGTGGCCATATACAATATGAGTCTGCCTTTTAAAACAAAAAAAAGTGGATGGTCCATACTCAAATGATTGATTGGAAATCTGTCCATAGGAGATTTGCTAAAAATTATCTATAATGCGTGGTAACTCCCACCCCACCCCCAGAAATGTTAGGGCATATAAAGGCATTAATTTTTTTTTAAGGCAAAAAAAGAACATTGTAGACGGCCGTCTGATTTTTATTCCTTTTTCTTTTTCAGAGGGCACATCTGCTCGATAACACAGAGAGACTGGAAAGGTCATCTCGGAGACTAGAGGCTGGATACCAAATAGCAGTGGAAACCGGTAAGAATTCTGAGAGTGAGCAAATTGTCTTGCTTATGCACAGCAGTCTTCACAACACATGACATTTCAGGGAAACTTCAAAGGAGTAGCAGAGACAGCAGCCCGAGATGTGGTTTACATATTGGGGAGACAATTGGGAGCTTATTTGCGCTTATCTTTTTTCAAGTTAAAAGGCATGACATCTACTGAAAACAGTTCCTGAGGTTTAAAAGTATACATCTGAAAAGAGATGGAATACTTTGTCTAAATTCTACATTTGTCTTAATATGCAGTTACATGTTGTCAGTTTACCCACCCGCAATGATTGCTAGCACACAGTGCGGTCTCCAGGTGTTTGCTCCTTTACATTTATTCACATATGTTAAAATTAACATTTTAATCAGTCTAAATGATGTGAACTAGGGGCAAAGAAGTAACAATATCCAGCTTACCTTATTTGTCCTGGTGTTGAAAATGATTCCTAGTGATTCTATTTGGTTTTGTTTTTTAAAAATCATAATTAGATATGGACAAAGAAAAGTCAGAGTAAGCAGCAAGGCTAATGTTCATGCTAATCTTATTAGCAGTAGTTAATACTGTCCAAACTTTTGGTTTGAATTAACACTAGTTATTAATTTCAGAAAATACAGCCCTAATTTGACTTCTAAGACTTGTCTCCTTAAAACAGACAAGCTTTTTCATTCTAAATGTTTCATGCAATGACTGTATACTTTTACATAGCAAATAAATATCTATTAGCCCCTGCATAGTCATCCATTTCTTATAATTTAGCTATCTTTGTTGTTTTGTTTTGTGAAGTACAGATTGTATAAAATTTATTTTTCATAGTTTGGATAGCTCTTGCCCAGTATGTAAGCCACAAAAATATGTGGTTAACAATGATTCCATTGATATTTTAAATTTAGTGTCATAAAAATGTTTATTTAGGAAGAACAGGTATAATGAAAACGATTCCAAATGTTGTGTGTGTGTGTGTGTGTGTGTGTGTGAATGGCCAGTGTTTTCTCTCGCCCGGAGTTCGTGCCTATCCCCTACTGACTTACTGTGTGATGACTTCTAAGAAACTGAATGGGAAGAACACAAATGGCATTGGCATTATAGTAATGGTGAGGAAACTAAAGAAAACCATAACCCCTCAAGATTCTTTAACAATGTGGGTAGCCCTTCTTTCTGACATTATTAATAGATTGGCTTTCTGCCCTGATTGGAATAAAAGCCAGCTTTCATTTGTTCTTTTTGTCCTTGGGCTCACCTTTAGAAGTGACTGTCCTGGTGAAGAATGTCAGTAACAGAAAGAGCCCTGAACATGATGAGGTCAAAGGACCAGACTTGGGTTCTAGCTCTTATTTCCGTGACCTTGAGCAAATCACATAACCTCTGAGTCTCAGTTTCTTCTTCAATAAATAGAAATAATATTACCTATCTCAGAATGTTCCTAAGAAATAGTACCATATGCTAAAATTTTTTATATACTGTAAAACTATATAAATATAAGTATTATTATTGTGGTCATTTGATGATATACAGGCACTTATCTTTCTCTATTCATAGAAAAAAAAATTTATTGTGGTTGAAATTTGTGTATATTTAAGGAATTTAAAAAGAGTGTTACTTTGGCATCCTTGGAGAATGTAGCCCTGTACCAACTGAACAATAAGGGACTTTCTTTGACAAAACCTCCCATTGGTGAGTCTCTTACAACATGGGACTGGGTTGGGTAGGGGATATTCTTGCTTTGACACTTGATCACAGGACTTGATTTGTCTGATTGGGCTACCTTTTCTCTTTCACTATATCATTCATGTATTTCCCTCCCAAAGCTTAAGGAAGTCATCAAAGAAGATCACAGATACTGCATTGATCAAGAGGATAAGATTGAATGGGATTTGATGGTTATTCTTTTTGATGTGTGCTAAAATAAAACATTCACATCAGCTTATCAATGTAGTCAACATGGAAAATGCCACTTTAAGAGTGTCCCGAAAAACCAGCCTCCATCCCCTTGGACTTTTTGGTAGAATACAATGGTAGTTTATAGAGTTTTGTAAAATTAGATATCTATTTGTTATATAAGGCTTAGGAAGTTCTTGCAGACTATAAAACCAAGTCTGGGAGGAGGAACAGGGTGGGCTTTGTGGAAGTGAAGACAGATATGGTACAGCCTTTGCCTAGACGGGAGTCATCACATTTTCTTAGATGAGTTTGAGAGTGGAGTGAGAAATGAGAAGGCAGGCACAAGGCCTTTGTCCTGTTCTTGCTTCTTACTAAAGTAATATGGGGAAAAAGTCACTGTGACAGGCGCCATGTTGTTTTTGCATTTCCTGCTTCCCTGCTAGCCCTCAGCCTGGTCACACCTGGTCAGCCAACAGCCCTGTGTTTTGATTGTGATGTAAACTTATGATGCTAATCATTTTGTTATTAGTATTAGTAGAAGAACAACATCTTTCAAAAGGAAAAACTTACTGGTTTCTTCTTCTTAAAGACTAGAAAATTCAACGAGGATAAGAAGTAGAAAAGGTAGTAAGACTTGAAACAGCACAAAAGAGGGAAATGGTTTACAAGTATTGATTGGTCTAATGCTTCTTAGACCACAACAGGAGTTTCTCCCAGGCAACAGCAAAATAAGAAAAAGATTACAAAGTAGTAACTTTCTCATAAGGCAAATTTTATTAATTTAAAGGACTACACTTTTTCTAAGATGATGTTTTTCCTATTTGGGGTGATAAAAGATAAGATAGCTTTATGATATGATACAAATAGTAGGTAGAAGTTATATGTTTATTTTTTTCTCTACCTGGAAAAATAACAAAATTGAAAACCCTATTTGGGTCCTCTGAAATGTTTTTTGAAATTTTACTTGCCCACAAAATCTAGGAAATATTGTCTGATGGACTGAATTAGAGAAAGACAGAGCAACTCCATTATTTGGCCTGGTAATTAATCAGCTGTGTGACTTGGAGAAATCACTTAATCTCTCTGCGTATGTTTTTTTTAATTTGCAAAATGGAAACCTGACACCAGATTCTATGTATCTCATAAGTTTGTTATAAAGTAAAATGAGGTCATATATATTCAAGTTCTTAGAAAGTACAGAAGGCTCTGTAAGAGTCATCATTTTTAAGTTATTGTCAGCAAAAGTGGTGATCTTTCAAAATTACTGGCAAGAGATTTCAACAAAAATCTGTGAACTTTTCTATTCATTAATTTGATAACTGTTATTGGCAAATATCATAAAAGAAAGTTTACTATATATAATCAGTTATATGTAAATAGAATAGAAAGCATATTAGTTTAACCACTGGTGTCTTCCTAGCAAATAATGAAATTCGTCTTCTAAAGTTCTTGAAACATTTCTTATGCTTTAAAAAGTTATTGTGTCCAGTTGGCAGTTACTAACTCTCTCTTTAAACAGCTGCTCAGTAGAGGGACACATGTCCAGAATGCATTTGGTCTGAGAAAAAGCAACATGAGTATTTCTAAGTGCCATTTACACCTTGATATATATTGAGTTTAATGCCAATCAAATTTTCTTTCTTGGATTCCTTCCTTTTTGAGAAAATTGATAAGATTACCAGTTAATTGAACAGCTCTATCTAGAAAAGAAGAGACAGACGGAAGAGCATATGATATTAAACTAAAGAGCTGATGGTAGGACATTTTAGTCTCAGACTGACATCAGGAGGGATAATTATCAGACCCATAAACTTCCTTGAGAGTGACCATCAAAGACCGAACACTGTGGTGGTTGTGTGAGCCATTGGCTTGATCCAGTTTGGCATTACCTGTAAGTTCTTGTCCTAAAATCTGTGCATAAAAAGTGACTTCCTTTTTTTCATTTACTACTAATAGTCAGGTCTGATTCTTAGCTGTGGAGATCACCATCTTGTTTGAGGTCAGAGACTTTATACTTAAAACTCTGGGTCATCTGCCCTTTACTCTGAAATTATGACTTTTCTTTCCTCTGAAGCAAATTATCCCAGAATTACAACAGGCACAAAACTAATGGAAACTATGTGATTAATAAAATAGGTTGAAAGAGAAATTATACAAGTACAGAAATGCAAGGCTCACTCTCTCAGTAGGTAAGCAGATAGTTTAAGATAGTTAAGTTTGGGGGCAGTATGAGACAGACATTTTGTTAAATTAATGAATGAGTGGACTAGTACATTTCAGATAGTGGCAAAATGAAGCAGGGTATTAAAGAGTAACTGATGAAGGCTACCTTAGGCTAGCTAGTCAGGAAAGACCTCCCCAGAGAGGCGCATTGTAAGCTGAGTCTTGTACAGTACAAAAGTGCCATCAATAAGCAGATTTGGGGCAGAGGATTCCAAGAGGGAAAAGCAAACACAAGGACTCTAAAATGAGAAGGTGTCCAGGGTGTTCAGGCAACAGAAAGAAGACCAATATGGCTGCATCAAAATGAGCAAGGGGGCATGGTACATGATTAGGTCAGAGCCAGGTGGAGTGCAGATTCTGTAGGGTCCCAGGGCATGGAAAGGAGCCTGAATTTGATTCTTAAGAGAGTAATGCCATTGGAGAGCTTTCAGCAGACAAGTGGCCTGATCTGAATTGTGGAGAACAAGGATTGTAGGGATGGAGTGGCAAAGGATTGGAAATAAGGAGATTTGCTAAGAAATGTTTATAGTAATCCAAGATTTGGTTCTTTTACCAGTTGAAATGAATGGAAGGATTTGATGGTAAAGATGCAAGGGAAATTATAAGTCATTTTAAAAGCCATTCAGGAGCAAGGAGCTTGAAATTTGTCATTAATTTCCTTAAGAGTTGGCATGAGATCCCAAAGATTCTTCCTTAAGGATAGCACACCCCCCTCAAATGGAGACTTATTAGTCCTTGCACCTGGTTGGGCTTTACACAGACAATAGCCAGTCCATTGGGCTGTTGGTGATGGATACTGCAGTTATAAATCTGAGCTTAAAACCAAGTTTATAATGATATTTTATTTGAAAAATTATGGTAATGATACCTATTTCCTAGAATTT